CAGAAGAAACGCCTATGGGCTAATCTTGGAAGCCTGTTTTTCTTGGTCTGGTGCCTGGGAGAAAGAGCCAAATAGATAGCTCAGAGGCAGCCAGAGTCCAGAGATTGTCTGTCGTTTGAAAAAAAAAAAAGGCAATTTGAATGTGAAAAAGAATCATTCTTTTGTCTTTCCTCTGCAGGCAAAGAGTAGAGGTGTTTGTCTGAGGGTGAGCCCTGGAATTCCCACATGGGCTGGGGAAAGAGGTGAGCTAGTCTTTCTGTCATGCTCTCCTGGCCTTATGCTGGTTCCATATAATTTCTTCCCACTTAGAAATCACATCACAGCTCAAAGCCAGCCTGGGACTCTTGTCTCTAATTAACTACCAAAAAGCTGGAAGTGGAGCTGTGGCTTGAATAGTAGAGTGCTAGCCTTGAACAAAGAAAAGCACAGGTGGGTGAGATGTTGCAAAGGGTGACATTGACCAAGATATGTTATGTTCATAAACTGCTTTGTTAAATGCAACTCCTTTGCACAACTACTTGAAGATAATGATAAAAAAAAATTTAAAAAGCGCTCAGGGACAGCACCCAGACCCTTGCTCAAGCCCCAGAACTGGCGCGCGCACACACACACACACACACACACACACATCATTGTTTCAAAAATGGAAGATATGGACTATAGCCTTCTTAAAAAAAATCAACCTTCGAGGATACACTATATAGATGATGCATACTCTCTATATAAATGATACATCTGTAGATTATACACTACATAGGTAGAAATAGATGAAATAGCCATATGCAGTTAGACATTATTCCCATATATTATATATATATGTATATATATATGGATGTAATTTACCTATGTATATATAGGTGACATACCCACATGCATTTTCAGACATTAGCTACCTAGAATCATTTTTTTCTTTTAATCATTCACTGCTTCTTGTCAAGTTACTGCTGATTTCCCCTGCCAGCTGCCTTCCTATGCAAACCTGAAGGCTTGTCAAGGAAAAGTAAATCTCATCAGAGTCCTCAGCTTTTCTCTGCAGAAACCCAGATTTCTTTTTAAGGATATTTCTCTATAAATGTCAAAGCAACACTATTTTCTTTTTCTATAACACCACCAACAACAACAAAACAACTCCAAAACAAAACAACAAGCCATCCTATTTTCATTTTTGCATGTGTACATGTTTCTTGAGAGCCAGGAGGAGATAATACTGGTCAAAAAAATGTGTGGAATATTCTCTATTGTGATGGGTTAGCTACATCAGCTGTATCTCCCTAAAGTGACACAGCCCTCTCTGATCAGCAGTACTAAGCTAATTCTGAGTGATAGAGATCAGTGCGTTTTGTACCACCCTCCTTGTGAACATGCGTGGTGTAGCAGAAGAATCAGCTAATTTCAGAGGATGCAGATTTCCCATCAGGAGATCATTTCAAAGAAGAGCCACTCTCACAGAATGCAGCATTAACCCAAGAGTTGGCCTGACTGGGGACTGCCACTTTACCCAAACCAGAGGCAGCCCCTACCAGTCTGGAAGTCACTGTGTGGCTGAGTGATGACAACCCCCATGTGACATTTCTACTGATTTGACAGCCAGTATATGTAACCCAGTCCAGGGTACCCACTGCCTAGAGAGGGGCTGTGTGTGGCCGCATTTTAAAGATAGAACAATGCCTAGAAATCCAATTTAGTCATTTGGCTACAAGAAAACTTAATCATGAGAGGGGGTGGGGGGAAGGAGAGGGAGAGGAAGAGAGATGACATCCTTTCTAGAAATATTTTGGTGTGTACATCTAATTATTACAAAATGTGTTGCCTACTTCTCAAAAGAAGCCAGTTTGCTCTCAGAAAATGTAAAATGTACTTTAACATAAAACAAAAAAAAAAATGAAGTAGGTGCCTATGGCTCATGCCTGTAGTCCTGGCTACTCAAGAAGTTGAGATCTGAAGATGTGGTTCAAAGCCAGCCTAGGCAGGAAAGTACATAGGATTTTTATATCCAATTAACCACCAAAAAGCTGGAAGTGGAACAGTGGCTCAAGTAGTAGAGTGCCAGCCTTGAGTGGAAAAAGCTAAGGGATAGTGCATGCACTCTCACACACAAATTAAAGTAAAATAAAATAAATTAAATTAAATAAACTCTCAAACACAAATCTGATTTGAAAGGATTCAAGGAAAGACTAAGTATCAAGGGTCTCTCTCTCTCTCTCTTTCTCTCTCTCTATGCCTCACTGGAGCTTGAACTCAGGGCCCAGCTGCTGGCTCGGAACTCTTTTGATTTTTGGAGGCTTAACTGGAAAGTCTCATGTATTTTCCTGCCCCAGCTGGCTTCAAACTGTGATCCTCAGATCTCAGCCTCCTGAGTAGCTAGGATTATAAGCATGAGTCATTGGTTCCTGGCAAAGAACTGAGTTCTAATAATTTTTTTTCCAAATAGGCTTATAGTCCCAAATAAAACCAAATAGTTAAGATGCCTACAGTACATTGGATTCTAGTTTTTCTTTTTTTTCCTGGATGTGCAATACAGACATACAGCATGGCTTATGGTGCTGGTGAGGGCATGTTTCCTTGTGTCATTCCGATGTGGTTATCTTTCAAGAATCCATCTTGCTGAGTGTTTCAGTGTTTACATTTTATTTGCTTCAGGAAGGGAATAAGGAAGAGGAACTTTCCCTTCCAAGTCTCGTCCTTCTCCATTAACTCCAGCATCCTTCTTGTCCTTAGACTCTCTCTCTCTCTCTCTCTCTGCATCCTGGGCATATCATCAGTTAATATAATTTTTTCAGTTCATGCAAAGTGGGGAATTGTTTCAATGTCTAATAATTGTGGATGTTCTCCCAAAAGAAGGGTTAGAAAGCAAAATACAAAATAATGTAAAAATAAAATGTTAAAAAAAGATTTAAAAATTGTTTCATTTCCTAAGTTAGCACAGCGTTCCTCAGAAGAGCTGTGCCTTCTTATCGAATAGTAGCAGCCTATTAAATCTATATGGCTCCTAAGGAGGCTGAGATCTGAGGATTGGGGTTTGAAGACAGCTCACAAAGGAAAGTCCACAAAACTCATCTCCAATTAACCGCAAAAAATTAACCACAAAAAAGTTAGAAGTGGAGCTGTGGTTCAAATGGTGGAAAGCTAGCCTTGAGCAAAATTGCTCAGGGACAGTGCCCAAGCCCTGAGTTCAAGCCCCAGGACTGGCACAAAAGGAAACTGCATGTGCTGGTGGCTCACATCTGTCACATCTGTCTACTCAGAAGGCTGAGATCTGAGAACAGTGGTTCAAAATAAGCCCAGGCAGAAAAGTCACCTAGACTCTTATCTCTAATTAATCAGCAAAAAGCCAGAATAGGGGAGTTGTGGCTCAAGGGTAGAGCACACACACACACACACACACACACACACACACACATCCTGCATGGCAAAGTCTTGTCTAAGCTCCTATATACAAGAGGCTGATGGTGATGATTGTCAGACCCTCAGGCGATGACCTAGAGTTTGTCCCAAGCAGAATGTGGTGGAAAAGGTCCTCTGTGTTGGCCTCCAACACAACTGTTGTGTGTCCTTCATCAGTTTCTGAAGACGGCTGCACTCCACTTCCTGGCCTCCCTCCCTGCCTGTGACCTCCTGCGGTTATCTCCCCTTCTAGGTCTAAGCTGCAATGGGGGACAGGTGTGTTCCTTCACTAGGCAGGCATGGTAGAAAGTCCTCATTTCCCAAAAGAGAAAGTCTACAACTCATTCTGAACACCCCCAGGAATAGAACATGGCTGCCAAAGGGCGAATTGGGAAGTATATGCCCAGAACCCCAACAGACCTTGGTCCAACACCACCCTGACCTGCAGAATCCCTTTGTCATAAAGAGGCACGTAAACATCAGAACAGATTCAGAATAGCTGTTTCTCTTCAGTTCTAGACCATAAAAGAGTGGTGGATGAAAGGGTTTCTCACATCCATATCTGAATCTGTGGTGGAACGGGAAGGGCAGAATCGGGTTGGTGGCCCACCAGCTGTCATGCGCCAAGCCCAGGTGCTAGCCAGGCAGGTCTGAGGATGGGAATCATGGGCAGCATTGGTAGAATGTGCCAACCAGCACCTGCTACACAAGACTTCATGGGCATGGACTGGTTCTCACGGTACAAATGTGGCTTAAAAGGTTCATAGATATGTGCTCTGGTTTATACTCCAGATGTAGATTTTTGTGATTTCATTGCAATCAGGAAGTTTATACCACACAAACAGGAATCAAAGCAAGTGAGCTAGTCACCAACCTACCAAAAGTGAGGTTCTTAGACTACAAGTTCCGCATCATCTGAGAGTTAACCAAACAGGAAATGAGCACTTCCTGGTCCAGTTCCACAGGACAGAAAATGCTCCCTGTCTCCCAGAAACAAGAAGTACTGATGTGTAAATATTTGTGAAACATGCTGGACACTGTTATTCACGCCTTTAGTCCTAGCTACTCAGGCTGCTGGGATCTGAGGATTGCAGTTCAAAGCCAGCCTGGAGAGGAAAATCCATGAGGCTCTTATCTCCAAGGAACCAGCAGAAAGCCAAAAGTGGAAGTGTGGCTCAAGTGGTAGAGCACCAGCCTTGAGGGATAAAGCTAAGAGACAGCATTCAGGCCCCGTGTTCAAGCCCTAAACTGGCATTAAAAAATGTATATGTGTGTGTGTGTATATATATATACATATATATATACACACACACACATATATATAAATGAAACATAATGTTTTTAATTTCACACCTCACACAGCACAGTTGAATGCTTCAGAAGAACATAAACCCAAGTTCAGCCAAGCACTGCAGACAAGTCGGAAGCGAAAGCTGTCTATACTCTTGAGATTGCAAGGGAACAGATCACTTAATAAACTGGTTGTTGGCTAAGGCCACAGAAATGTGTTTTCTGGTTGTTTCTGCCACCGCCAGTCTCTTCTGACAAAGACATATGAACACTGTGAGCAAACAACCACATTTCTTCCCAGGGACTCCATGGGGAACAGTCCAGTCTTATTTCTTCCTTGATTTCTTTTTGGTGGTATCGTAAGCCCGGACTATTTCTTCCTGAGTTACAGCTCCATGCTCTTCTTGAGAAAAGGCGTATCCATCTGAAAGGGAGGCACATAGGAGGAAAGGGTTAATGAGGAGGGTTGCAGCAGGATAAGCAGCTTTGGGGGAGACCATGGATGAACTGTGTGGTGTGTGACACGTGGCTTTCTCAGCCTTGCTTTCGTATGCCTGACAGGAAGAAACCTGTGATAGAGAAGGGGATTCTAGGTAAGAGGGCAGTGTGGCAGGGTGTTACTGCAGCTGGGCTGAGAATGGTCCTGAGAAGGAAGGGCTTAGTCTGGGTTTCTCGGGGAATAACACAATACCCTGGATGGAGAACATGACAAACCAGAGAAGTTTATTTTGGAGTTTTATTCTGGAGGCTAAAAAGTCTAGGATCAAAGGAGCTATTTTTCTCTTAAAGGTCCCATCTCTCTTTTAATTTTTTAATTGTTTATTTTTGGGATCAGTTCTGGAACGTGAACTCAGGGCCAGTTGCTGTCCCTGAGGGTTTTTTTTTTGGTTAAAGCTGGTGCTCTACCATTTGACCCACAGTTTTGCTGTTGGCTTTTTTTCCCTGATTAATTGGAACTTTCTTGCACGGGCTGGTTTCAAACTATGATCCTCAGATCTCAGCCTCCTGAGTAGCTAGGACGACAGGCATGAGCCCAACCCTTGTCAGACTCTTTTTTTTTTGTGTCAGTTGTGGGGCTTGAACTCTAAGCTTGAGTGCTGTCCCTGCGTTCTTCAGCTCAAGGCAACGCTCTACCGCTTGAGCCACAGCACCACTTCCAGTTTTCTAGTGGTTTACTAGAGATGAGAGTTTCACAGACTTTCCCACTCGGGCTGGCTCTGAATGGCAATCCTCAGATCTCAGCCTCCTGAGTAGCTAGGATTACAGGTGTGAGCCACCAGCGCCTGGCTCCTTGTCAGACTCTTTACAAGGAGAAAAAGAAATAAAAACTCGTGTCCAAGTGACATCTCCTGGGTTGTTTGTACATTTCTCAGGTATTTGGCTTGAAGAGGAAAAGACTCTTCTATCAATAGCAGGGGACAGTTTGTGAGGATGTGGGGGATATGAAGTACAGGAAAGGACTCGGGGCTGAGTGTTACTCTATGTGCTACAGAATGTCTGTCCTTGAGCTAGCTTCCTGGCTTTTTAAGAGAGCATGTCTGCCAGACGCAACTCAGCCCAGATACCTGGGTGGGTGACCCTGGAAGAAGAGCTAGTCTGGGAGGGGGTCCACTGAGGGCTGGGGTGCTAAGCTGCAAGGAGAAGAGCCAGACCAAGTGGTCATGGAAAGGAGGGAGGGAGATAGACAGACAGACAGAGTCAGAGCAAAAGATAGAGATAGAGCAGACACAGACAGAGACAGAAACAGAGAGGTCTAGAGAGAGACAGACACAGAGATACACATAGAGCAAGAAACAGACAGAAGGAGACAGACAGAGACAGAGAGACAGACAGTGTTAGAGGGAGACCAAAAGGAAGATAGACACTGAGAAAGACAGACAGACAGACAGACACACACACACACACACACACACACATACACACACACACACACATACACATGTAGAGAGAGAAAGAGAGACAGAGAGAGGGAGGGAGAGAAGGAGCAATCATATTTCAGTGAAGGCAGAACAAGCAAGCCAGTGTAGCCAAGGAATAAGACAGAAGAGTTTTTCTCTGCTTGTTCATTTCTATGCCCAACAAATCCAAACTCACTGACCAGAAAACCCCACCATGCAGTAGGCCCTGGAAGGCAGCTCTCTGCCTAGTGGGGCCCTCCTGATATCCAGGCACAAGATGGAGCAGGTCACTGAGCGGAGGCTCGGGCCCACCGCCAGTGCCCTTGAGATTCCATAGGGCAGCCTCCGCGAAGGTTGTGTGATGTCCTCACCGGATCTCCTGATCCCCGAGGAGCAAATGCCACTTCTCATCTCCGTTCACCAAGAGCTTTTGGATTTTGGCCAAGTTGCTTGGAACTTACCCATGAGGTATGAGGAAACCACTAACTGCTGGCACAGACCAGCTTCCGCCTCTCTTGGGCACAAGCCCTGCCTTAAATCCCTACCTAAGTGACTGGTGAAACATTTTTAGGGAGCTTCAACAGGACACACCTCTGAGTGGCTTCAAAGTAGAGTGCAGCGAGTAATAATGGTGTGTACTATGGTTCCTGTGTGGTCACTCAGCAGCTGTCCTCAGCCAGAATGGCCATCCTGTCTCCCATTGTGGCTGTGGCTCTTAGGTAACCAGTGGAAGCCCCTCAGCCTGAAGGAAGTCCTCGGGATCAAGGATAGGTCTTCCCGAGTCATTCTTTAAATACTTGTGTGACAGGCAGGGGACTATGGGGCTTCCCACTCACAAGAGGGCTTTGTCTGCTGTCAGCTTCCAATTTGGGAGATGGGAGCACATGGCTGAAGTACTGGAGGCAAGACTTGGCTCTTCCTTGGCTAGGCAACCTTCTGTTCATTAAGGTTTTGGGTTACTTTTTGGCTAGATTTTTTTTTGGGTGGGGGGAGGGAAGAAGAGAACAAGACATTTGAAGGGGTCCTGTTGAGTCTTAAACATTAGGCCAGGTGCTGGTAGCTCACACCTATAATCCTATCTACTCAGGAGGCTGAGATCTGATGATTATAGTTTGAAGCCAGCCTAGGAAGGAAAGCCTGTGAGATTCTTATCTCCAATTAACCAGAAAAAAAGATAGAACTGGAGTGGTTCAAGTGGTAGAGCAACCAGCCTTGATCAAGAAACCTCAGGGACAGTGCCAAGGCACTGAACTCAAGCCCCAGGACACTGTCTCTGTCTCTGTCTCTTTCTCTCTCTCACACACACACAGTGTTGCCATTGTCCCATGGAAGTTCTCCCTCAGCCTTCAATTATGCACATATTATATATATATATATATATATATATACACACACACACACACACACATATATATATATATTCTTGCTACAGTTACTTTGAAAGATTTGTTAGGCAGATAGCTTGGCTCTACAAAATAAAGTCTGTGATTTAGGCTTTAAATTCATCATTTTGTAAATGCATAAGGATGAATATTACTATAATTCCATGTTTCTCTCCAGAGGAGAAAACAGAAATTTCAACAAATACTAAGTTCATGCAGCTAGTGGCAAATATTTAATATTTACTTGATTCTCTTACAGTCTGGAGCTCTGGAACTGGTTTAGACATTTTATATATATATGCATATATACACATATATCTCAATCTATAGATATATAATGAACTAGTTTAGACACTCTTCATATAATATCTAAAAATAATATATAATAAAAATATATAATATGCACAATAAATCTTATATAATATATTATATATAATATGCATAATACATTATGCATGATATATACCATATAATGTAAACAAATACTATATAATACATTAGTACATACAAAAATATTATATATAATAAATCTCATTTAATCCTCAGGTTGTCATCTTCTTATTTTATTGATACAGAAACAGAGAGGTTAAACAACTGCCCTGAGATCACAAAAAGTTGTAGAGCTGGGACAGGAGCCCTGAAGATTCTTGAAGATGGCAATGAAGCGTCCTAACCTGACCTCAATCTTGGGTAACAGCCATGAGCCACTCTTCTGACTTATGACTCTCCTTGTGCCCTTGGGTTGGCACCAATCATTTCCTGGAGTGTTAAAGCATTCAGGGATATTTCTTCCAAATAGAGGGAGCAGATTGAAGTGCTTTGCCTACCTTCTCTGTCTTTTCCTTCCTTCCTTCCTTCCTCTTTCATTTGTGTGTGTGTATGTGTGTGTGTGTGTGTGTGTGTGTTTGTGTGTGTGCATGTGTTTGTATGCCAGTACTAGGACTTGAACTGAGGATCTGGCACCTGTTCCTTTGTTTTTCTGCTCAAGGCTGTTGTTCTACCATTTGAGCCACAGCTCCACGTCTGGCTTTTTGCTAGTTAACTTTTTGCTGCCTGGATTGGCTTCAAACTGCAATCCTCAGATCTCAGCTTCTGAGTAGCTAGGATTAGAGGTGTGTGCCACTAATGCCTGACTACCTGCCTTGTCTTTCCCTGAGAAAGTCTGCAAATCTCATTGACAGGTGGAGCTTTCCCGACCTACACAGAAATCCACCCATACTTATACTATATGTGTAGGATTCTTCAGGCTTCCTCATGTGTGCATCTTCTTCTAGACACTGTCTTCTTAACCTCACAGGGAAGGCCAAGAGAGCAGGGAGTGGGTTGCAAAAGCACCTTGCCTTGCTGATGGCATCTACTCACGTGAGACACACTGCTGGATGGAACCACCACGGAAAAGGGTTGGAGGTGTCTTCCTGCTGAGCCTCTTTAGCAGGCGGTCTCTCTCATTCATCCTGCAAGGAGAATAAACACAACCCAAATCCAGGTCACCTCAACACCCTTCAAAGGAGTGAGGAATAACTTCATTTGTGTGAGGCTTGTGTGGTGTGGTGTGTGTGTTTGTGTGTGTGTGTGTGTGTGTGTGTGTGTGTGTGTGTGTCCCCACTGGAGCTTGCACTCATGGCCTGAGAACTATCCCCGAATTTTTTTGCTTAAGGCTGGTGCTCTATCACTTGAGTCTCATAGAATTTCCTGCCCCTGCTGGCCTCAAATCATGACCCTCACTCATATCTCAGCCTCCCGAGAAGCTAGTGTTATAGGAGTGAGCCCACAGCACCCAACTGAATGAACTTCATGAGCAGAATGAAGATTTTGAATATCAGATTCCAATTGTCCTGACTCTTCTTGTGTTCAGCACTGAAGCTTACTTAATTTGATTGTTATTTGGTCCAAATCCTCTGGCTCTTCCTGGTGGCTTTTACAACAGTTCTGTTTTCCTTTGATGTTTTGTAGTTTTATGACAACACAGGTAAAAATTTGTTTTTGTAATTTGCTCAGTTGCTTCGGCCTGGAAAGCTGCTTTGCAGGTTTGCCTTTCCTTTGTTCTCTACTTGCTTTCCTGGAGTTCTTGTTCTATCTTCTGCATCTCTAAATCTCCACCACATTTTTCAGATCCTTTTCTCCTTTATGCCCCTTTTACCCAAACTATGGTTAAATTATCCAATATGTTTTCATTTAAATCACAATATTATTCATGTCTATACTGTTTCCCTGTGCTCAAAACACAAGTAACGAAAGAAAGAATAGACTACAGGTGACACACACGTGTAGTCCCAGCAACTTGGTAGGCTAAGGCAGGAAGATTGCCTGGACTCAAGAGTTTGGGGCAAGCCTAGAAAACATAGCAAGACCCTCCATAAAATAAGTAAATAAATAAATTCATAATAAATACATATATAAATAAAATCTTATGTCCATCAAAAAATGAAAAATAAACACAAGGGATAAAAGATGATATATACAATATATATAATAGGGTCTACTATCTAAAAGGTATAACTATACCCTATACATGAATGTATCAATAACCCTTACAACCAAAAAGCAAAAAGATAATCCAATTTAAAAATGGGCAAAAGAAGCTGGGCTCTGGTGGCTCACAACTGTTATCCTAGCTACTCAGGATGCTGAGATCTGAGGATCGAGGTTCAAAGCCAGCCCGGTCAGGAAGGTCATGAGACTCTTATCTTCAATAAACTACCAGAAAACCGGAAGTGGCACTGTGGCCCAAGTGGTAGAGTGCTAGCCTTGAGCTGAAGAGCTGAGGAACAACACCCAGGCCCAGAGTTCAAGCCCCATGATCAACAACAACAACAACAACAAAAAACACCCAAAACTCAAAAATGGGCAAAAGATTTGATAGTAATACAAAGAATATACCCCATGCTCAAGAAGCATGTGAAAAGATACCCAACATTATTAGTCATTTGGGGAGTGTCAATCAAAACCATAATGAAATATTATCACACATCTATCAGGATGGCTTATAAAAACAACAAATAGCTGGGCACTGGTGGCTCAGGCCTGTAATTCTAGCTACTCAGGAGGCTGCAGTCTGAAGATCAGAGTTTGAAGCCAGCCTGAGAAGGAAAATCCTTGAGACTCCAATTAACCACCAAAAAGTCAGAGGTAGAGCTTTGATTCAAATGGTAGAGTACTAGCCTTGAGCAAAAAGAGCTCAAGGACAGTGCCCAGGCACTGAATTCAAGTCCCAGTACTAGCACAAAAAGAATTTGTAACAAACAAAGTCAACAAACACAACTAAAACAACCCCCTGGGGAGGAGGTGGAGGAACAGAAATCCTGTCACATCCCTGATGGGACTATAAAATGAGAAGCTACTGTCCTTCAATTAGTCAAACAGAATCACCTTACCAGTCATAAATTCCACTCTTAGGGATATGCCCAAAAGAATACAAAATGGACCAAATTGATATGTGCATACATTATACATACCAGCATGATTCCTAAGAGCCCAAAGCGAACACAAGCCAAGTGTCCATCCACAGAAGTTTATATATGTTTATAAACATCCATATGTATATAAACAATACATGGTCTAGCCACACAATGGAATATTATTCAGTCATATAAAAGAATTAAACTACAATACATGATGCAACATAGACAAACTGTGAAAACATCATACCCAACCCCAAAGCCATATGGGATTAGAGGAAAGGTCCAGAATAGGCAAATATGTAGTGGCAGAAAGCAGATTAATGGTTGCTAGGGCAAGGGGAATGGGTAAGGAGGGGGAAGGGTTGGGGAAGAGGGCAGAGTAAGGGGGAGGGGAGACTGCTTATAACATATGGGTTTCCTTTGTGTGAAATGAAGGTGTTCTAACTTAAAACAGTGGTGATGGTTGTATAGCACTGTAAATGTACTACTAAATGCCACTGAATGTACACTGTTTCCTTTTTTCTTTTTTGGGTTACTGTTTTGTGTGTGTGTGTGTGTGTGTGTGTGTGTGTGTGTGTGTGTGTGTGTGTGCATGAGCGTGCATGTGCACACACACATGTATTAGGTTTTGAACAACTGCTTGGCTTTTTTCACTCAAAGCTGGTGTTCTACCACTTGAGCCACAGCTCTAACTCTGACTTTTTGCTAGTTAATAGGAGATAAGAATATCAAGAATGGCATAGCCTTTCATACTAGAGCTAGCTTTGAACAAGGATCCTCAGATCCTCTCAGCCTCCTGAGTAACCAGGATGACAGGTGTGAGCCACTAGTGGGCATGAATGTACACTTGATACGTTTTATGAGAACTTCATTACAATTTTTAAAAATCCAGCTAAAAAACAAAAGGAATGAAGAAGGGGTCCCAAAGCAAAGATAAATTCCCTTCTCTACCTAAACTGCTGCCATCTTCACAGTTACAGGGGAAGGATGTTGGAATTAAGGTTGTTCTTGTAGAATTCTGTTTGTTTCTTTGCTACTGTAAGCAGATACACAAACCAGAATCCACCAGGGTAAAAGGTGTTACATCAACACAACTCACCCCAGGTAAATGTGGTTTGTGAAACCCAAGCTTTCACAAGTCTTTGAAATGGACTCTTTCTACAAAGAAGATCACGTACCTTCTGTTAGGTTCCTGTCTTGAAAAGCAATCAGTCTAAGAACCAGTGGAGAGTAGAGAAGTGTTATGCTGGTGAAAAATAAACTCTGGGTCCATATTTCTATTGGGAGCTATTTGTATAAAAGCAACATAGGTCTCACTGCCACAGGCAGACCAGAAGCTGGGAGGGGGGAGTGTGTGTGACTGCCAGTCTGATTTGCAGATCCCATCAGCAGTTGCCACACCTGATAAGAATTCATGGCAGGCACAACAATGCCAAAGTCTAATAACTACCTGAGTGCCAGTGGCTTGTGTCTGTAATGCTACTCTGGAGGTTGAGATCTGAGGGTTGTGGTTGAAGCCAGCCTGGGGGGGGGGAATCTGTGAGACTTGTATCTCTAATTAACTCCCCCCCCCAAAAAAAGAAATAAACAAACAACAAACTGGAAGTAGAAGCTTGGCTCAAGTGGTAGAGCACTAACCTTGGGCAAATATAGCTAAAGCACAGTGCTCCCTTGAGTTCAAACCCTAGTACTGGTACCAAAAAAATGCAAAGTATCTAATAGCTATGTTTTAAAACTCACTTTTCAGTGAGCTACTGGAGAGTTGTGAAAATGTAGATAGGGGCTGGGGGAGGTTCAATTGCAGAGCAGTTGAATCGCAGGTGCAAGGTGCTGGGGTCAGTTCCCAGCATGGTGGGGGGAACCTCAAAAACTAAAAGCAGTAACAACATAAGATGTACATGTGACAGGTTCCTTAAAAGTCTGCCCAATCTTCCCTTCCCCCCTGGTAAAACCACACATCTACAAACTCACCAGGCCATTGAAATCCTAACCTAGTTGTAAGGATCCTTAGAGAATGATAGGTCATAGCTGATTTATCAAGGCTTAACTTATTTTACTCCTCAGAGTTTGAACACTGGGAAATGAGAATCTTTTGATCTCAAGTATATTCTAGACTTATCTAAGTCTTGGTAGTTAAATACACTTAGGTCCTGAGGAAAATAACAAATATACTTTCTCATTTAAGATTCTGATAAGGTAAGAGTTATATTTATTTTATAAACACCAGAGATAACTGCCCTTCAAAAAGTCTACTCTGGAACTGGAGGTCTGATTCAAGGGGTAAAGTGCTAGCCTTGAATGGAAAAGCCAAGCAAGAACTTAAGGCCCTGAGTTCAAGCCTCAGTACAGTACTGGCATGTATGCACGTGCACACACACATATTTTATGTATATCCTTCAGTTTCCTAGATGCCATGCCTTTCTAAACAGTGCTGAGAAATACTGTCTAGCTAGGCTTCCTTCCTGTAAGAGGTGGGGAGAGTCTTTTCTCCATCTCCAACTGGCAAGCCACCTGAGTGAGAAGCTGCTCAACCAGCACCACCTTCTGACCTCATTAGCCGAATGACAGCCCTGACAGCCCTGACACATGTGGAAACCATTACCTCATCCCATGACTTGCCAGGGGCTGAGCTCGATGGTGTAGCTGGTGAGCCTGTGAAGAGGTCAGATTGGAGTCACAGGGCTGCTAGGAACAGATAAATTAGCAGGGCACCTGGCTGACCCCAGAGAAGCCCCGGGCAAAATAGGATGCTTTAGGCTGAAAGGACCTGGGTGAGGTGGGATAAAGAATAATCTTTATTCTGTGTATTTTTCAACAGGGGGACAAGACAAAACAAAACACCACTGTGGCGAATCACAAAATTAATCATTGAAAACGTAATCGTGACAATTTAGCTCCATACGCTGAAAGTGCTCTGCCATGTATTTGCTTAAATCATAAATGCAAAAGACTGTGGCTTCATCTTGAACACAATTTCTTTCTCTCTTTTTTTCCTTTCTGGAGCTGGTTCTGGGCCTTGGATTTAGGGAGCTGTCCCTGAGCTTTTTGCTAAA